CCCACACCCACACCCACACCCACACCCACACCCACAATCCATACACCCAGATCCACACCCACACCGACTAAATCCTATAATACGGTGGGATGGCTGTTTCTCAGTCGATCCATTGGAGTAATCACACGAGAGATATCTCACTAGAAAATGGTCTTTTTTCTAGTCCTGCGAGGATATCGATATGGTGAATAGTAACCGAGGTATACAATGGCGCCAAGACTTTTATTCTCTTAACTTTGCCCCACCGTAGCCTGTAATAGTCTTACCCTTACCTTGTCCTATCCTGCAGGGTAGGGTAACCCTGCATACCTCTAGTTCGCTCTTGGCAAAGGTCGCTTGTTTAAAAGTACGGATTGAGATCAACAGAATGATCTATATCGAGTCCAATATAAATCAATTTGCCTGTTATGTGTTCCACTTTGAAGCTGCTGTGATTAACAACACGATGGATATAAATAAATGAATTCAAGTTTATTTGTAAAGCATGAATAGAAAAGTACGAAAATGAACTCTAAAAATATCGATTATAGTCATGGAATAGCATCGAAGGCTTGTTGGTCTGTCACTTTTTTCTCACTTCAACCGCTATGATTGAAGAGGATGAGGAGGAAAATAATTCTTTAATATCATCAATTGATACGTCGAAGTCAAGTAGAGTTTCCTCATCATTTAAAGTGAACACTTCATAGAAATCCATCTGATCATGTGCAATTGACAGCTTTTGGAATATTTTACTGATGAGAGATGAGAGCAACTGATCTGGCTGACAAGGTAATAGAATCGTATGATCAGAACATGTGATAGAACAGGATAAACTTGGTGAAGAAATCAATTGAAATTCGATGTTAGTCATGGTTTCATCAATATCGATCAACGATAGATCATTATCAACATCTGATCCATCAGCCAGTTTTAATTCAGCAGTATCTTCGAGCACACCAAGTAAGTGACAAGAAATAGAGCAGAGACGTTTCAAAGTGATTGAATGAGCACAGTTGAACTGAACAGACTTCTGCTGTTGATCATTGACACCTGTTATAGTAACCGGTAGACTCGTTTGAGTAATAGTGAAACGGATCGGTGTATCTGATAGAAAACAACTTAATGGAGTTGCTGCTGATGGAATAATCTCATTGGAGTAAAGAAGATATCGATTGTCAAGATTGATCTGTTGTTCTTTACAAACATCAGTGATGGTGGCATGATTGATAAAACGTTGATTAGACACTGTTTCTGATGAGTCAACATAAACGTAGCAGATATCTTTTTTATCGATCAGAAGAAATTCATTTTCACATAAGTTTGAAACTATTTCGTTATTATTCAGAACTCGTTTCGTTCCTTTCAAAGCTAAAAATCGACGAGTATTTGTAGGTTTGTCAGTCAACTGCAAGATTTCATGAATCGTGGTATTTCTCGTCGACAAAAGTATTGAAAGCTCTTCTTGATCGTGATGGATTGTGATGGGTGTTCGAATGAATAATCGAAAATGAAGCGATTCATTCTCTGTCGTACAATAAGTGTCAATTGATTGCCGCATCTCATCTTGGGAAAGAGTAATACGATCGTTCGTTTTTTCTAAGATTATTGTATAATTCTTCAATATGGTATCGACTATACCAAGTGTTTTTCGAAGATTTTCATTCTTCAACAATGTGATAATTTTCGTAGAATTTAAAACTTGTAAATTTTTACTGTTGTTTTCGTACGATAAAGTGACGAAAGTGGTTACTTGGCCACTAATAACATCAATTATGTTTGATTGTGCTGAATCAATGGTTGAATGGATTGTTTGGCTTTTTTCAAAAATCATTCGTTGTTTTGGAAAGAAGAACGCATAATTATTGACTGGGAGATTGGTTTTTTGAGAAAGATCTGTCAACCACATTTCAATTTGTTGCCATGTTGCTTCTGGATCAAAGAAGACCATCTGATGGAAATCTAAACAAAGAATTATACTAAAATATTAATCATCTATCGATTATTACTTTTTCCACCCGTCAAATGTATTTCACACACACTATTATTGATTGATGTCAGTTCTTTGACTACAACGGTAACTAGTTTTTTCTTCTTTTCATGCAAATCTTCTACACTAACATCTTCAATACATCCTCCATGCTGATCAAAAAAACAGAGATACGTATCAGTGGTGTTGTCTTTCCGTTGATTAACATCCATAAAATGTTTTATAACCGCGGCTATTCGATTAGTAGAAGTTGTGAGATATTCTATTGTTGATGAATGATGTTGAAATTCAACACAAGTCAAATGTTTTCGCTCCACAATACGATATGTGACGGATGATATTTGTGATGAATGAAACTCATCTTTGTTGAAATCAAAAAATATCTCATTTTTATCTATTAGAACATATTGATCATGATCATAGTGGTAATCACCGAAGATTTTCCTTAGACGTTCCTGAAACTTGTCTACTTTATACATAAATCCTGACGTTGTTCCATCAGGATGAGTAATCGTAAACTTCTGTGCTTTAGTGATATTTATTCCTTCAGCTGTTCCTTCCATTCGAAATTGATGTAGCTGTTGAAGAAAATTTAATGATGAACATGGTACCAATCTCATATCGAATGTAAACAAGGATGAGTATACAAGAGGTTCTTCCAAATGGGAGTCTTCTGCTATTTCTTGCTGTGATGATGATGAACATGCATGAACTGAATCAATTTCATCGATAGTGTTTTCTTTTGCAACGGAAGGTGAAGACGGAATACTTTGGGTATTGTCCTCTTCGTACTCCGAGAAGTGTGATGGATCATCCAAGGTTGAATAAGATTGAAAATGACTTTTATCAGTTTCCTCTTGCTCATTCGTCTGTTCTTGCCATAATCTGATTGTTTTCTCTTCGATATTGACTTTCTTTTCTTGAAGAACCGATCGTAATCGAACTAAATGAATATTTAATGGCACATAGTTTTCACAACGAATTTCTGACGGTACTAATGCCACAATAGGATTTTCTATTGCCAGATAAAGACAAATTTCTACAAGTGACTGAGATGATTGCTGTAGCATCATATCTTTAGAATTTTTCAAGTCATTCAAAAGTTGTGTTATTGATTGAATGATTTCTTGAATCTTGTCTATATCATTGTCAATGTCACTTTGAACGATATATTTGTTCAATCGTTCAACAAATTCAGCATCTAATTGTGGATCAATGGGAATTCGGAGTAACGGCGGCACATCATTAAATAAATGTTCAAATCCATTTATCAATTGAGCATAGAGTTTAAGGACATGGTTCAAATGACATAAAGGAAAGTCTCTGATTCCATATTGTTGTATTCGTTCAAGGATATCATTATCTTGATCAGTGGATCGAACAAAACTGATCAGACTTAGAGATGAGACCGTGTTATCAGGATAAGTTTTCAATGTCACTGCAATCTGTTTCAGTAATGTATACGAATAATAAAGATTATCTAATGATACTGTTTTCAGATAGTTCCATTCGTTCTCTATTTGTTCATCAGTAAGCGGTATCAAATACTTTTCATCGAGATCAAGGTTTTCATAATCTGTTCTGGCTAAGTTTGCTGGTAATGGTTCAGTATAACATTGGTATTTCTGAACAATATGCTGATAATTGATGCGACAAAGAAGTAGATAAGTTCGAATGATTTGAGATTGAACATATTCAAAATTGAATGTAAACGAGGAATTTAGATTGATAAAAGCTTGTTCCTCATTACTAATAAGACTTGCTTGACATAATTTTTGGATCCATTCACAATCTTTTGCATTCAATCTAATGATACCAATGTCATAGTTGGCTACTTGTAAAATTGAGACTTCTTTCGAAGTAATCTCATTGACTAACAATTTCAAACTACTATCACTATAATTTTCGTTATTATTCAATTCTTTTTGTAGCAATGTCAACACATGATTATGATAATCAACCAGAATGCTAAAAGAAAAAAAAGATCCGATATTCGAATGTTAAAATACAAAACAAACGATTTTTCGATTATTTTTCTAGTCAAGAATTATTTTTATTACCTGAGTATTCTCATAATAATATTTCCTTCATCTTCACTGTCCATTGTCAGTAAATAGTTTACTGGTGTATCGAATGTGATTGTTTCGAAGCGTTGAGTTTGATCACAAGCACCGGGTTTAATAAGTCCATGAGCAAATTGATGATAGCTATTGACTGCTTCTATCCCATTATTGATAGTAGTTCGATGATTTTCCTCTTTATTCTGATAATATGAATCATAAAACTGATGAAATCGCTTTTCGGCGCGTTCGTGTAATTCTCTAAGTGTAATTGTGAACAATTCATCTACTTTAATCAGTTGTGTATAAGTTTGATGTAAGAGGAGATAGAAACGTGTCAGATGAGTAATTAATTTCGTCATTTTCAAGATATCGAATGAATCCAAAATAAATCGGATAAGTCTCAGAGACAAAGATGATTGTGTGTTATAACGGTGAAGTGCTATTTGAAAATGCTGAAACTCCAAAATCAAAGGCATTTGGTCAACAAACTGTTGAAGATTACGTTGAATTTGAGATTGCAGAATTCTTTGATTAATATCAGCTCTATATTCGGATAATTTGTCAAACACAAAATAGAATACATCGTCTTGAAATGCTTTCTCAGCGTTTAGTTTATCATCCAGTCGTTTATAGACTGTTTGAATCCATTCTTGCTCAGTTACAGTCAGTAAAGCCATTCGTTCAAAGCAGCGACTCAAGAGAATACAACTATCTTCGATATTGAAACGAAGAGACAGAAAGTGAAATGTCGATAATAATCTAGCAAAAACAAAATGACAAGTTTTAGCACGAACACTTTGACCAGCTAGACGATGAGCAGGCTCGGTATCACCGATCGTCGCAGGTGCAAGAATAGGACCATATAGATTCTCGACTGAGTCATTACACAGCAACAAATGCCAAGCCTTAGAAGAGAAAAGAAAACGATTAGAGAAGAACAAACAATGTTAAATTAAACCGACCAGTGCGCCAAAAGTGGAAAAATGAGCCACATATACAGCTGGAACATTCAGTATACTTTCATATTCTTCGTCATCAAAGTGTATCAAATTCCCATTTTCAGAGATAATACATCCACAATCATAATGGACACCGTTCGCTTGGATAATTGACGGGAAATTCGATCCAAAACCTGCAACACAACGACAAGAAAAGTCATTTTCGTCAGGGATGTGGCGAAGAGAAAAAAGTGAATGGGTGCAAAGAGAATTTTTTCAAAACTTTGGAACGCATAAAGCAAATTTCTAGATGTGAGAGGATATATTTACAAAAATTTAAAAAGTTCGGGGGATGCAGTACTTCATTTTTCTATCTGACGATCTTGTTTTTAAATAAAAATACAGATTTTTGCTAGAAAATAGCGAAAATTTTCAAAAGGTGTGGGGTGTGCACCTCCCTGCATCCCGTAGTCGCCACATCCCTGATTTTCGTAATAAAATCTGAACATACAATGTTCGTCAAATGAAGTAAAACTCACCATATGTAATTATTTGATTTGATGGGCAACAATTTGAAACAAAATTGTATTGTTTTAACAGCAGCAATAAAAAGATTAGTTTTCATTTTTTACATCGACGTTTCGATAAATTTATTATCATTTACAAGATATATAATCTACAATGAGAACAAGAGATATAATCTACAATAAAATACACTAGTTAGTATGTTTAATATTAAATAAAGATACGATTGAGAGAATGAGTAGATATACACAGACGATGGTAGAATGCAAATTTATTTAAAAGGAGCGTATAAATACGAGAAGGATTTAAGAAATCCATGAAAGAATGCGTGAAGTCAGAGGATTGATTAAGATAGAAATGGTGTGAAAGCAAGAGATTAAGCAGCAGCAACTATTGTGTTATTTTGTTTTGTTTGAATTCTTATCCAATGCCAATGCGCCTTCTAGGACACCCTTCAGGATAGATCAACAGCGGAACTGATCTTACTGTCACGTTGAGTGCTGGTTGAAACTCAGCTATAGCCAGTGATTCCCTTACACACAGTCTGTATGGATGCCTATCTTTCGATAGTATGATCC